GTCTCTTGCTTTCATTACTAATCACCGCTCACGATCATTGCATAAACTTTTTGTCAGTTTAAGTTGTCTTCGCTTCTCATAGTGAGTATCCGATCATCTATCATTCCTGCTCTTTCGAACTTGAGATTATACTTACACCAGTCAGACCAGAAGGTTCAGTCTAGTTTCCAAATTCATAAAGTGTGGATCGTGCTTATTCTCAAACTTGCTTGAGTTCAACTGGTAAGACCTACATGAGCGACAAATAAAGCTCGATTCCCAAACCCGACCGCCGGATTAAGCTATCAACCTAAGAATACACTTGCATTAAACTTCAGTCCCAATCTAACAATGTGAATACAAGGATCTTTCTTCCTAATCGAAATGGCTGGGGTCAAATTTCCTGGCTAGGTTAAAATTATTTTGTCAATAGACTTTTTTTTATATCCCCAAACATTTTTGTTAAGATACATTCTTGCAAGGTCTTACTACCATGTATAAATTATATTTCCCGGATTTATGACTTCTGTATTTCAAAACTAAGGACTAGTCATATAAAATAATGGTAATTGTCAATAGAAAGATTTTTCTATGATTTCATGTAAAACTAAATAAACTTAACGCCGTTCATTTCCACATGATGATATGCTGTGCACGATTGCTAAGTGTTGATAACAAGAATTGCCAGTTATTTAGCGGTTATTATGTAGTATATTTAAGTTCTTTAACACATAATAAATATTCTTACAGGAATATATTCACAAATGCGTACTTACCAGAAAAATACTTGGTCGTATCAATAACCTGGATGATCTAATAAAACATCTAATCCTGGTAGAATTACAGGTTTCTATATGTAACCTTTTTAATGAAAGGAAACATTATAGGTAAAATTCGCCGAAATCCTGAGAATATGAAAGAAAACAAATGCTAAATTGACAATGAAAATTAGTTCGACTGACCTATGATTTTTTTATAGTCTTTCAAACAGTTCCAAATGACCGTAAAATCACTATATCAGGGACTACCTCGAAAACCACTCAGTAGTCTCAAGATTTTAAAAATGACAGAAGTGTTACTCAATATACTTGAAACTCTCATCTAGCACGTTGTAAAGGTGCTCATATCTTGACAAAACAAAAGCGTTTTCCGTGAAATGTTTCAAAATAAGAATTAAAAGGTTAACCTTGTTTACAAAAATTTATAATAATAATCACCACAGTGAACAAGGGAGATACAGCGGTCTTTTGCTAAGAAAAATGGATTTGCTGAATTGTATATTCTATAAAACTAGCCCCATAGAAGCAATTGGATTTCTTTAGACATGAGTGGCGAATCCAGGCAGTCTGTCACTATTGGTGGTTCGCATTGAAGAATATTGTTGTTGACCGTTTTCAATTTGGCTGGAGTAAACATCTGAAGCAGTTTTGATTTGTTTTTCTACGCTATTTAGATTTGTGTTGATTTCAATACAGTTATTTATTTATTCTCTGAAGAAGTAACTTGCCTTAAAACATCAGGAATTTAATTAGTTATTCACTAAGTGGTTACAAATATATCATGTTATTATATAGTAGATTATTCATGCATAGATGAATATAGAAAAACTTTATTATAACCATCTATTATGCTTCAAATTATTCAGAAGTCATCTATTTTGAAATGTTTACTTTAGGAAGGTCATGCTAGCTTTCCTAAAACAATCTTCCAACCGAAACGGAATAATGCATTAGGCTCGCCTGTTGCATCCTATTGGTTTTATTTACAAGATCACGTTATTTGTTTCCATAAAATTGCATACCATCAATTGTTCTTGGCTACAGAATATCTACACTAAAATGTTTCGTTTATTCGAACACAAACATTAGTACAAAAGGGCACCGAATACATATGTACCACACGATAACAATGAGGCTGTAAAGTGGTAGAGAATGCAAAGTGCGTGTGACAAAAAGAAAACAACAACGAACAGAAATTAGTGTGTGAGAGTGTGATAATAAAAATAAGAGAAGCAGTTCAGTTAACAAAAATATAACCAGAAAGAATTCTTCCAGCTAAACATGTTCATTTTTTATGAAGACAGTTACAGCAGGATCACCACTCGCTTCTATTCTGAGCCACGTCTGATAACGTCTCGAGCCACTGTGTTCCACCATCTCTAGGATCCCAACCAGGGAGTCGTGAAGGACCAATAAAAACCAGTCCTATAAAGCTCTCCTTCATACCACAACACAATGTCATACACTGACAACCTCTCCGCTTTTCCCAACCGATCCCAGCATCGACAAACAATGCACGACGTAGAATTCTCTGGGACGACATTCGTAGAACATGTCCAAGCCACCGAAGTCGATGTTTCAAGATGGTGACACCAATTGAATTATCGTCTCTGTGCCCGAATACACGATGCTAACATGGTGTTGACACGATGACAGCAATCCTTCGGAGACAGCGATGATCGAACACAGAGAGTCGTCTAACATCCTCAACTTGGAGAGGCCAGATCTCGTAGGCATACAGCAAAACTCTTCTCACTGACGCGTTTTAGATCCGAACTTTCACAGCCAGAGTAACATCACTAGGGCGACAAAGATGGTTCAGATTTGTATAAGCCGCTCTGGTTTTAACTATGCGTGAATCGATCTTGTCGTTCACGCCACTACCAGCACTTACTCAGCTACCCATCAGATACACGAACTTCTCGACTACTTCTATCTGCTCACTATCCAGAATGAGTGCAGGTTCAGGGCCTACCAGTCTTATAAAAGTGCTTTACATTTCTAAGGTGCAAAGCACATACAATACCAACGGACAATGATTGCTAACTAATTATGTGTGGATTGCATGGCCTGGGTATAATAGCACAGTAAGACAATATCATCGTCATACTCCAGATCGGAATTTTTTTCTCCTAAAGGTCAACACCACTACTACCTACATCCATCAGAACTATTTCTAGGAAGTCATTGGTAGCAAAGTTGAAGAGGAATGGTGAGATTGGGCAACCCTGCCTAACCCCACTGCTTGAATGGAACAGTAGAGAGGGGTGGTTGCGTGCACTCATTCTATCTGATGTGCTAGTATATAGGGCTTTCAATATGTTATTAAACTTCCCAGGCACACCCTTCTTCAATAAACAGTCGCAGATGACAGTCCTGTCCAACGAATCGAAGGCGGCCCTAATGTCACTATGGTTGTTGGCTTGTGATAAGTATGACGGTGTTCTAACATTTGGAGGAGTGTGAAGATATGATCAATACATCCTCAGCCAGAACAAAAACCAGTCTGCTCCCCACGAGTCAATCTTTCCAGGGTTTTGAACAATCTACGAAGTATGACGGAAGCTAATAGTTTGGACGTAATCGGAAGTAGACCTATCCTCCGATAGTTGTTACAGAAACGACGTGAATTCTTCTTGAAGATAGGGACAACTAACGATTTATTCAATGATGTTGGAATACTCTCTCGCTCTCTAATTGCCAGACATTTGTAAACAACTCATTCAGTTCCTTAACCATAAGGTTACAAGCATCTTTAAAGGGGACGGAGGTAAGTCGTCTGAGTCTGGTAGTTTGTGACAGTTCAAGAGTCGGAGTTCCTTACAGATTCCCGCCTTGTTAGGTGGAGAGCAGGACAGTATAATCGACGTCGCCGAGGCAGCAGACCATTTAAAATGCTACTCGAAAAACTCAGACTATCGTGCAAGATGTCGGTAGATGTTATCGATTGACATTCCGTCAGCTTGACAGATTGTTTCATACACCTGACTTCATTCTGCCAGTGTCTCGGATGAGTTGAAAGAGCTTTCAGAAGTCACAAGACGCAGCTGCTGCTTCTAACTCGTTAGTACGCTCCGACCACCAAGCTTCTCGGTTCTTACTCAAACTTCGGACAATCTCATTACATAATAATCTTCGTTTATGGTCAAACTCGGAATAGACCGACGTGCGTCAACGGGTTGTAAAGATTCTGTAGGAATTTAGCGATTATAAGTGGGATGTTTCACGAAGCCGCAAGTGAATCTACTCGCCATTTTCATGTTATCATGCAAATACAACCAGTGCTCATCTATACTTTTCTGTGGGATGGTAGCTAGCCTTGGAACTAGCTCGGTTTGATATTTAGTTGCAATAGAAGCTGCAACCAAGTTGCTGACGTCGAATCATTTGGAGTGATGAATTTGTTGGCAACTGAAACGCAATACAAGATTAGTGTAAAAAAGGGCATGATCAGAATCCAGATAGGTACTCCTAAATGAGCAGCATTCTTGTACGCAACCACGCCAGCGATAGTTGATCGCGATGTGATCAATCTGAATCCAGGCTTGAGATGCAAGAGGCCTCCAGGTAGCACGTCGTCGGTGACTGTGCCGGTAGTGAATGCTAGCCAGAAACAGGTTGTAGTCTACTCAAAGTTGCAGTAGTCAGTCATCATTCTTTGACCTGAGACCAACAAGCTGCCTTCGGCCACCTAAACGACTCACTTTTGTGCCTAGACGCCCGACCTAAGCATTTAAGTCACTGGCTAGTACTACAATCTGTCGGAGCAAAAGTGGAGATGACGAAAAGACATTGTTTCTCACACCATCTTCGTAATTTAATGGAACTTTCTAATCTAACAGCACATAACGGAATGGTAATAAGGATTCAATCTATTAGTGCTACCTTAGCTCTAGTGCCTGGTGAAACACTAGCGCCAAAAAATACAGACAAAGATGCCACAGGGTCCCCGTGTAAACGCACGTGAAACCAGCTTTCCGAAGCGACAGATGGAGAGCGAATTTGCAGTGCTTCACTAGAGTCTTGAATACTTGTCTCGGATAGACAACATACATCGATGTTGAAACTTTCTAAGGAAATAGCCAACTCTACCTGTTGTCCGATCTGCATAGGTGTGCGAACGTTGAGGAGGCTAGTTTGAAGGTGTTATATTTTCTCTCTTACGGTTTTAACCCAGCTATTCCTATTGCTTAGTATTCACGGACACAGATTCACTCGACAAGGCCCCAAATCAGAACACGGTTGAGCAGGAAGGAGATTGTATTCCAAATAACAAGGTTAGATGGAAGTAAGAAGCACAAAAAGAAAACCGTTAGTATATTTATAGTGTTTACATAAAAAGAATCTAGAGTCTTCTCCATGTATCGACTAGCGCTGATTGGATAAGAATCAGCCAATCAGCGTGCGCCAAAGCAATCGTGCATGGAGCATGCTTAAATCTAATCCATGTCCCGCTAACATCTCCCCTTTGAGCAGATTCGTAGGATCTGGTGCTAAGGTCAAACTGCAACCGAGTGATTTTATTTAGGGTATTAGGACTAGAACCAAACTTATAATTCCTAAACCTGACACCGACATTATCCAATGGATTAAACAGTTCTGTATCGATAACACCAACAGCGACATCTTCTTCTGAATCGAAATCATCCAGAGCAAGATCTTCAACTTCGCCTTGTTCACTCATATCATCTGAGTCATCTTCGCTTGAAGGTTCCGACACATTGTCTTCTTCCTCCTTATCCGGTTCAAACTGGCAATTGTAATGAAAACAGGGTAGGGCATAAACTGAAAACCTGCTTATAAAACAAAGTAAGATGAGATCTTGCAATACTGAGAATCCTTGAGATATTCGAAATAATTTAGTCCACGGTAAGGATCAGCAGAACGGAGCTTTAGTAAAGATTAAAGTGCAGTCAAGATTACAATTATTTTTAAGCATGCAAACATATTCGAAGCTTGAACACAACAAACTGATTATCATTCTCATGACAAAGACGGGAAATCTATTTTTCCTGTACATGAAATTTCTCCAGTTTACTTGTAACTAATCTGTTTAGATATGAAAATGAAAAAACTCATATGTTGATTAATCCGTACAACACTGATGCCGACTATACATTTATTGATGTTCGTCGCTGGTTTTTATGTACTGGGCTACTGTAGTAACACAATTATTTTAATATCAGATGATACTATTCAGGTTGTAGTATGCTTAAGTAGGTTAACTTTGACAAAATCAGATATCCGTTGAAAGTCCCGACTGAGGGTTTTTTATCGGCGATTCAGTCAGCCATTTGTCATGTACATTCGATTCACTTCAATTACAATAAACAAATAAGTAAATGATTCATAAACGAATATTAAACTTCAAATGCTATCGGTGTTTATATTTACCGATAGTTAACATCACTACGACAAAATCAGACGGGTATTTGATAGCGTGATTTTTTGTATCATCATTTTAGACTAGCATAAAATTGATAATCATACTTTATTACCAGTAACACTTGAAAATTATTTAAAAATTGTAATAAAATTAATAAACTAAAATACGAAAACACTTTTTGATAAGCGAATACCATTATATGAACTTTTTGCTTTGCATCGTTTTCTATTCAGCCAAACAAATTACAAAAATAACAGTAGTGAATATGGTTGTAATACTAGTTTCATGCCTGAACAACTAACAATAATAAGAGAACTAAGTGTATTTATTTCTACGGATATAATTTTAATTGATATAGTTCATTAGTGTTGTAAAGGAACTGGAACAAAGTATATCAATTAAATTGATTTTCATAACATTTTATACATATTTCTAAAAGTGCTAATTTTCCGTAAGGAAAACCATCTTAAATCCGATTATATTTTTATCTATTCATTGGCAACCGCAGAAATATAAACATCAGCTTAAGAATGGTTACGTATGGAGTGCCTAAAATAACTTTACATAGACTGTCTATGTAGTAGATAAAACTGATGAACAATTTAAACGTTTCTTATGAAATTTTACAACCATTTGATTTGCGGACAGACAACAATTGTAATTATTGGAAAAATCTGGCATACGGTTAGCAATCATCTAATACTGATTTATTTATTTGAACACAAACATTAGTACAAAAGAGCTAGTACTACAATATCTGTCAAACTCACTTCCTGTAAATAAACGGTGATGAAACGCATCCTTTATAGGATCCGAGCTACAATCTGTCGGAGCAAAAGTGGAGATGACGAAAAGACATTGTTTCTCACACCATCTTCGTAATTTAATGGAACTTTCTAATCTAACAGCACATAACGGAATGGTAATAAGGATTCAATCTATTAGTGCTACCTTAGCTCTAGTGCCTGGTGAAACACTAGCGCCAAAAAATACAGACAAAGATGCCACAGGGTCCCCGTGTAAACGCACGTGAAACCAGCTTTCCGAAGCGACAGATGGAGAGCGAATTTGCAGTGCTTCACTAGAGTCTTGAATACTTGTCTCGGATAGACAACATACATCGATGTTGAAACTTTCTAAGGAAATAGCCAACTCTACCTGTTGTCCGATCTGCATAGGTGTGCGAACGTTGAAGGAGGCTAGTTTGAATGGCATACGTGGTTTCCTTATTCGTAGTCGGTGGTATCGTTCATCTTTCGACCGGTCAGTGACTCGAGATCGTTTGGATAGAACAGGGTTTCCACCATAGTTGAGCTGTTGTATAAGGTGAAAATTAAGAATACACAAAGTGAGAATAGAAAAGAGTAGATATGTGACGTAGTATATATAAGAAACATAAAAATGAATGTTATCAAATTATTGTTAATGTGATTTTTCTGAACGCTAACTGAAGCAACGATAGTTTTTCCAGTAGTAATCGTCATTTGATTTGTGTATGGGCTGTGATACTAACCAAGTGTCTCAACCGAAGCAGATGGTTTTCTTAGGGGACCACACTCAGTGCCTTCGACCTGAAAGTCTAATCCACAGGACAGTGGAACAATGTTAGGAGATGAAGTCTCATGGTAGCTAGTGAACAACGATGGGTTCATACGCTATTTGTTTTCTCAGGATCCTAGAGCCCATGTGCACCATTGTTTTGGAATTAGAGTTTTCCAACTCTTACGTATCCACCAACCCGGCTAAAGAGTCGGACATTTGCTTTTCGTCTTCTAAATTTTTTAAACACTCTTGTTACGAAAAAAGTGAGTAGAACTTTCCTGACAGTGGCCGTATACGAATGACCATGTAAAAGCGATTTGAGAGAGAGAGAGGTGACTCTCCCCACCCTCGACTGTACCATTTGGATTCAACACCATTTCAGCTATTTGATAATTTCATTCAGAACATCAAAACAAGATATAATTGGTATTGATGCGTTGTCCACGGGATAATAATTTTTTAGACTATGAAATTGTATCTTTGTGTGCCGTCTTTATTCTTGCTCTTAGACCAACAAAACGTAGTTTCAATCGTCCAATGTGGAGCCTATTACCTGATAAATAAGATGTCTAAGCTTCGACGGAGTACCATTTCACAATTATTACTACCTCAGTCTTGTCATTTTCCAAGTCCGTACCTAACAATGTGGCTGAGAATATGTTTCGAGAGCTGTTTTGTTGACGTTGGAATTGTGACTGAAGAACACTGCCAGAAAATTAACACTTTGTGGAGATAAAACTTTCTATTATATCATTATCTGAGATAACAATCGTCAAGAGAGTGACCTTGATGTTAAATATATCCAGAATGAAATGGCGTCAGAGCAACCGACATATTCATAATACAAAGTTGTTTCTCCGAATATCTTGTACCTAATAATATAGGCAAGCTATTCCATGTGAATACCAGGGCTTTGCTTCTTTTCGTCTGGTGGGTGGATTGTTCACAGTCATCATATGTTTAGTGACTCATAACCATGAGTTACTGAGTGTTGTTCACGAGAAAAACCAATGATCCTGTCATTTTATGGAAGATCAAGCCGAGTATTCTTCCTTTACTAGTATCTGGAGCTGCAGTCTTCGTCGTTGTCCACTTTGTCTAAGAAACTTACGGGAAGCGAATTATTGCACAGGATATCTAAAATATGTATTGTAATGTGATTAGACAGCCAAAATATCCCGGTTCTCTTGTCACAATTTCTACGAAATAGTTCTTTCTTAAGCCTTTGGAGCAAATATGGATCAGCTCAGATGCAAAGCTTAAACGCAGCGTGAAGTAGGCGGTCATTTGCAGTGCTATTTCTTCTGTACACGAGATCAGAAGAATGTTGCTTTCTGTTTTACTGATATCGTAGGAATCGACGGTATCTATGGATGTAATAACGAGGGAATCCCACTCTACCAGTTATCAGCATTGAATGCTTGTGTGAAGAGTATACCAGTAACCTTTGGATTTATTGTCAAAAAGACATCAAACCTAATAGGGAGGCTTTTAGTGTTTTGTACCGTACATCTGTTGAGTGTTTTGTATTTGATGTCAGTCCTGACATGAGCAGTGCTCTATCTACCAACTTTCCGATGTACACCATATTCTCTGTAGAAATCACATCATACTCAATGTCATGTGGTGAGTAAGAAAACAGAATTTCGTTAGCAATATTTCTTTTGGATATCAACTAGCACGTTCCAACATTTCAGCCAACATAAATGGACTTTAGAGGAATTTTTAGTTGTCTAGTGATTTATCGTAAACAGCTCTGATCGGTAAGTAATTCAGTCCTACATATAGATCTTTTCAAAAAATAATTCTTCGTGTTCAGTTGCAAAATTAAATTAACTTTTATTTTATAAATAACTGATGTCCGCGATTTCAAGAATCGAACTGTTAGATCCACCTGATATAAACTTGGTGATCAAGCAAGGTTTAGTAAAAGGATCTGATTCAGTTCTAATTATTAAAAACAATGTAACAACTTATTATTATTTCAATACACAGAAGATTTAGTCTATAATAATAAGTTTCTAAACATTTTTCGTTTATTAATAAAGCAGGCAAATACAATCTGATTGCATTGCAGATTCAGTGTAACCTTATATATATATATATATATATATATATATATATATATATATATATACCAGTATTTTTTTAAAAATATAAACAGTACTCAAATGCACTGAAGTCATTTCATTATAATTTAGTGAGGTTAAGCATCTTTCCCTGATTTCATATACCGGTTATATACATCTATTTTATCTATACTTTGTCTTGTTACAGAACATTTATTGAAAAAGTGGTCTTAGTTTTTCTACTGAGTCACAGGTTTTCCTAGAAATATTACATCCTATTAAATATGTAAGCTGTAAGTACTGAAACTGTCCTTAATACTTCCTTTTTATTGGTTGTTTTAATCTTCGCATTATTGTTTGGAACTGTAATTGATCAGTCTCTTTTGGAATATGTGCGGACTACCTGGATATTGCCATATATATAATAAAAGAAATTAATGTTAAAAACATGTAAAAAACACACAGCTTACAGATGAATAAAAACTATCAACTTCAAAGGAGCAGAATTCCACAAATTTTATTACTGCAATCATGTCATTTCATGTCTACATAGAATAGAGAAGTGGAGAATATTATCGAAAGATATTTGTTGGTGTTGGATTCCCAACTGAAGAAGAGTTAGCTAGACAATAAACAGTTTACAGGGATCAAACTTTCTGTCATTCTATTGTAAGATGTGGCCATCGCAAAGAGAGTGATTTTCGTATTAAATATGTATACAGAATGAAAGATCATCGTCAACGGCCGACGACATCACCAAGACAAGTGTATGTTTCTCCAACTATCCTGTATATAACAAACTAAACAAGCTATTGATTGTGGATGTCGGTCGTTCACCCATGATCGTATGGCAAATGGATTTGTCACTGTAACCAGATGGTCAGTGATTCATAACCATGATTTACTGCGCGTTGTTCATGAGTGAAGCCCGTGGTTATGTCGGTTTGACAAATCTCATGAAAGGCATTCTCCTTTTACTGCTGTCGAGAGCCACAGCCATTGTAGTAATATATTTGATTGAAGAAACATATGGAAGGCGAATCATTGCACAGTATGTCTTAAGTATGCGTCACCATATGTTTAAGCAGTCAAAACTTCCAGGTTAGCTTAATAACTTTCATGATGTTGACTTAATAGGTAGCATTGCAAACTTCGCAGAGCACATCGTCCATCTGGGAAGTGAAACACAGATGCAGCATGACATAAACGGTCAGTCGAAGTGCTATTCCTTCCGTAAACGGTATTGAAATGAAATAGCTTGCCGGTTTATAAGCATAATAATTGACGTCACCTATAAGTATAATAAGGAAGAAGTGCCATTCTACCAGATAGTGGCCTTGGATTTAAGTAACCTGCGGATTTGTAGCTCGAGAAACATCTGACCGTGTTGGAATGCTTTTAGACTTTTTCCGTAATAGTGTTTTGCCTGGTATACCATTCGGAAGCTTTATTGGTAACAAGAGCCCTTCAATTAGCAATGTTGTGAAAGCAGACTTCACGGGTGCCCACCATATTTCGTCAAAAGTTTGCTTTATACTTAAAGTTATGCGTCGAGTAAAGAAAATATTATTTAATCTGGTTGCATACAAGATACCATGAAATGGTGAGGAAAGTTTCTAAGAAAGTGATTGTCCGTAAGAAGAGGATGTGAAACGGCTCTCTTTAGAGCCACCTTACAAAACGACTTAATTGTTTTCCACTTTTCTTGAACCTGAATGAAGTTTTTGAGAAGTAAAGAATAAATATATGTATAATGAATTTTTGTCAATAAATATAAATTATTGTTCAAATTCATAACGCGTTTGGTAGGAAAACCGCGATCACTTAAATCTCGAAAATAAACTAGAAAAACAGCCTGATATGTCACGAAATATAGACCAGGAAGATCGTCACCATCATTTCACCTTAACAGTCTACTACAGTTTGTTAAGATATATGGAAAGTGTCACTTTACACAGTTGTAATATATTCTTATCGGTTGGTAAGATTTCTCTTGCAGTACAAACTCTTCAAAGAGGATTAATTATCTGTGTGACATGAGTTTCATATGTTTATTTAAAATATTCAAAAAGTAAGTGGTAAGCCTCCTAAAGCGTACTTACGGTTGAGTGATTATTACATTTGATAAACACAAATAACGCTTAACAAATATGGATCGACAAACGCTTACCCAGTCAAAAATTAATCCTTAGTTTGAAGTTTTCATACTAGGTAGTTTTCGCGACATGAATAATTCTAAATGAAAACTATTTTCACTAGTTGAAATCATGAGCCAATTGAAGCTAGTATAATGGCCCGTAATCTGACTTCAATTTGATCGTAATGATTGGTTGCTATCGTCTATCCTCGTATATAATCATTGACTTAAATCGCGTTAGTTAATAACGGAATTAAATAAGTCAAATAACGAGAATGGAGTTTTGAATGCATATATTTTGTATAATTGTTGATTAGAACAACATATATAAGCGAACAATATTGTTTTCGATTAGATCCTCATCAGGCTTTACTCTAATATACAGTAATATTTATATGCATATTCGAAATTATTAAACTAATCAAGGTAGTTTATAAATCAATGATAACGATGAATAAAACGATTACATAATATGTGAAAAGTACAAATAGATAGTGTGATGACAGGTGTACTAGTTTTTATAAGAATAATAAAGGCTCAAATCAACGTTACATAATCGGAAATAGGTCAATGATTAGAAAAATATAGATAGTGAGATAACATTTATAAAAATTATTATAAGATGACGTAATGAGAAGTGTTCAGATAATTGAACCGTGAAAAAATAAAAATAAAATAGTAGGAGGGGGTGAAGAAGAATTAATAAACAAAGAGAAGGTTTGAAAAGAAAATAATAAATAAATTCATTTATTAAGCCCAAGGGAGAGATAAGGGTGTTACAAATTTCTTCTGAACACAAAGACTCGGCTTGTTGGCTCGAATTCCTATAGCTTCTGCTATGTGTAAGAGACGAGATCGAACACCATAGGGAAAATTAGTGGGAATACGATAAATAACTTTAAATGACTTATTTCTGTCCACTACATGACCACTATCGATTAAGTGTGAAAGAACTGAGCTGCGTATTGTCTTTACGTAACCTTTTCCTAACCACGATGGGAGGTGTTCACTAACTCTTTGGTTCAGTTGCCTGGTTGTGCGCCCAATATAGCTTTCTCCGCAGGAGCAGCTGAATTCGTAGATACACATAGAAGTGGCGTAACCAGGTAACTTGTCCTTCAGTTGGGGAATCACCATAGATCGGGTCGAATACGATAGACAGAGGTTGGCAGCATTAAACGTTCTCTTGACTGCTCTAGTCAGTCTATCACGCAATACATCACCAGCTACATCACCATTGAATTGCAGCTTCAAGAAAAGAGGTTTCTTATTAGCTGTTAGTGTCACTATCTTCTTGTTTGTTATACGCAGGTGTTTCTTCAAGAAACCCTGTGGATAACCCATTTCAATCAACCTATTATGAATTTGCTCTAATTCCATTTCAATTGTGTCAACAGAGCATATCTTCATGGCTCTACTTGCTAAGCATTTGACTAAGTTTCTCTTATAATGAAGAGGCACAAAGCTTAAAAAATGTGTGTATTGGCTGGAAAGATTTTTTCTATACACACCTCTGCTGATAGAACCATTTTCTTTTCTACTTAACAAAACGTCAAGGAAATGTAGTTTATTATCCATTTCCTCTTCACATGTAAATTTAATTGCATGATGTTTGTTATTAAATCGTTCTAGCAGTTGTTCTTTACTAATGTTCTGATCTGCAATGATGAAAGTGTCATCAACGTAACGACAGTATAAATCAAGCTCATTGATAACCTCTTTGAGAGGTCCGTTTTCTAGTTTAGCCAGAAAAAAATCCGCAAGGATGGGACCTAGAGGTGAACCCATCGCTATACCATCAATTTGTCTATAATATGTGTTATTAAAGACAAAATAGACATTCATTGTGCATTTCAAAAGTAATTCTTTAAGACTAACCTCAGGAATTCCAATATTGAATTGTTTTTCCTGTAGTTGTTGGCACACAAAATCAATGGTCTCAATTAACGGCACATTGGTAAACAGTGAAGCTACATCTAAAGACATCATACGTTTCCCATTTACATTCATATGTTCCACTTTAGAAATGAAATCGAAGACGTCTTTCACACTTCTGTTGACGACTAGTTTATGTAATGGATTTAGGATTCGAACTAGCCACTTTGCAGTTTTGTGATATGGAGAATTATACATATCTAAAACTGGGCGAAGAGGAAGACCAGTTTTGTGAACTTTAGGTAAACTATATAGCCGTGGTGTGTTAGATCCAGTGGGTTTGAGTGAGTCGTGTGTGTCAGGAGTAAGTATACCTTTATTTTTCAATTCTTTTAGAGAGTTAGTCAGCAATTTTTCTGCCTTTATATTTATGTCCTTCACGTCGTTGAGTTTCTGAAATTTAGTCGGATCATTCAAAATTGAGTTCATTTTATTAATGTAATCAGCTTTGTTCATAAGAACTAGTCCACCTCCTTTGTCCGGTTTGCTTATGATCAGAGTGTTGTCTTTTCTAAGCATATGCAAAGCATCTCGGTGCTGTTTGGTAAGTGGAGCTTTTACAGTACATTTACTATTTTTGTATTGTTGGCAGATGTCCACCAACGTCGTCTTAAACCTAGTAACTTCATCTTGAGAAGTAGGCACCAAATCTGTTGTTTGTGAAAATAGATTTTCAAACTGTACATCTGTATCGAGTTGGTTTATTTTATTTCCATAGTCACAAAATCTAGGGCCGAGCGACAAAGCCTCTACTTGCACTGTGTCTAACGTAACACTAGAGAAATTATGAACGTACCGCTCAGGGTCAAGAGGAAATTTTCTTTCAGGTTTATGAGGTTCCAGTGATTGAATTAGTTTTGTCCCCAATTTTTCTGATCTACTTTTTGTCACCATGTTATTATAATCAATAAATTGATATTTTATTTCCCGTGGTAGGATATCGACTACAGATTCTCATTGTGAAAGATTTCTTTCAAGATTGTTTATGTGTAATTTTAATGAATCAGTTTGGTTAAGTGCATGTCGTTTAAGAGTTCTAGCATTCGGATAAATTTTGTTCCGGCGTAAAGACTTCCAATATGTTTTAGGATATCTCTCGGTCCGTATACAATCATTAATAAATTCCAACGATGTTTTCGCTTCTGTGAGACGAGCATTAAACTTTAGGAACTCATTGAGCACCTTAAATGCAATCGGATCTCCACGTGATTTCAAAATTTGAAATATTCCCATAATGTAAATTTAGAACAACATATATAAGCGAACAATATTGTTTTCGATTAGATCCTCATCAGGCTTTACTCTAATATACAGTAATATTTATATGCATATACGAAATTATTAAACCAATCAAGGTAGTTTATAAATCAATGATAACGATGAATAAAACGATTACATAATATGTGAAAAGTCATTGTGCTCGTGGAATGTACTTTTCTTGTCATGTGTGTATATTATTCATTTAATGTCAATCCCGAGATAGCTATGCGTTACAAATCAACCATATTTGCAGCTTAAAAATCCCCATATAATCATATTTTATATTGTTGAATAACAATTTTTGACAAGCATTTGAATATATTGGTTACATGTATTATAAAAGAACAAGCCTAAGTCTGTTGAAATAAATTTCTTTCTGAACTATACAACTTAATACGAACAAAGTCGATTGTATCAAATGACATTTGGGCATACACATAAATTTAATTTCAACGTAATAAATAAAAGTCTACTTTTATTAAGCCAACGTCAAAATGATAATTTTCACTATATTGAAACATTCTTATTACATTTTGCATGTACATACAGTTTTTATTGTTAAGCCCACTTGACGAGCAGCACAATAACCCATTTACATGACTACTTTACTTACACATTCAAGTATTTTTTGTCATCATTTTAAACTGCTCAACTACAAAGAATGTACAGGTAAAAATAATTAACGCTTTTAATGGATTAGCAAAATAACGCAATTACATTGTTGCAGAAGTATAGCATAGTAGTGAAATGAAGTTGGTGTATTTTCTTTTAAAATAGTTAACATTTTTATCAAAACTCGGATGGAACAGTCAGAAAGAATTATTTTTTTCATTTGGACAGTTTAGACCATGAGTCAATTGGAGCTAGAGCACCATGGAAAACCTGTTAACGTTTAACTTCAACTAATCCACGAAATCTTTGTAAATCTCAATTGATTATATTGCTTAATGACTAAGGCTTAATTAGAATTCATCAATGTTGGTTCAGCTGACCTTTCCCATAGAAATAATGTCGTTATACTAGTGTACTGGCAGTACTACATTCGTCTATCGTAACTATATGACAAAACATTGAAACATTGTGAATAAGTTTTGCATTTACTATTTTGTTAGACACATTAGTGTTCATTAGATGACATTTCCTATACGAAATCGTCTACTTAAACCGTATATTTGATAAAGCTTAAAAAGCGTTTACGAATGCGTGGACGATAATCACATAATGATTATTAATCTTAAATGAATTTTGATGGCTTCATCACTTGACCTTTACCATGGAAATAAGGAATTGAAACAAAGGAATTTAAATCAAATTTTGGGTGGCCCTGAAAAGGGCCTTTACTCGTTCTCTTAGCAGTTCCGAATTTCATGAACAAAGGCGTTGCTATGATTCCGTTATATCGCCGCATATGGGATAGAGAATTCCATAGGCAAGTGGTGATGGGTCGTAAGCACAAAATAAATGAAACATTGCTTCGCATGGACAAAAAATTCAGGCACTTCCATCAGCAGTTTCATGTGGTGGTTGCGCAACATTGCAAATATCACAAAGTCTATTGTCATACGCATTTTCGTCGTCTCGTCCAGTGAACTCCTCTGAGTTAATCGAAACAATTTCTTCCTCGTCATTGCTTAACGTTGCATCCATATCGACGTTATTCTGATAGTTGGTAACTCACAAAAGATGAAGGAAGGACAGTGAGTGTTCACGGAAGTCCTTTATGAAAAATTATAATAACACTAATCAAATTACCTCATTCGTCTACTCGTCTGTGAGGAACCGCTAGGTGTTCTAAGACCATTTCTCCAACATACAAATTTAATATACGGCTTCCGATCTCTATGGAAATGAGAATCTTTCACCACATGATGGCAGTACGTAGCTCTTTCATAAGTTCTAACGGCGCTCTTCAAGTGATTGAGACGCTACGAGACACAATTTGCTCAAGAATAGGTTATCGGTTTCTGTGACAACGTGGGGAACGACAGAGCTCTGCTTTGCACCCTACTACCGCCCGTAATTGGAAGAAAATGTGCTCTGTCGTCAGGTCCTGACATTTTATATCAAGTTTAAGAAATAAACGACCAATTATAACGAACTCAAAACTAGCTATTTGATTGGACGGAACAGAATGAAAATTATTGGAAGATGGGGATGAAAAATTTTTTCGAATGGGACGAAAAAAAGTTTCACTCGAAAAAAAAAAGGCCGTGCATTTAATGTAAAATGGAGATGCCTGGTAAGCCAACACCCCCTTAACAAAGAGTTAATCAATATTTATAAGCACATCAAGATAAATTACAGACATGTGATGAACAGTGTGATAAGAAGTGTACACACGCCCACGTGCTCATACAAAGACAGTCAAGATTGATTAGCGAATAATTTACAAGGTCAAAATATGACTCAAGCAGAATGAATAGATTGAGATGTCCGAAAGTTAGAATAAGGTATATGGGCTTAACGTAATGACAGACACTACATAGCCCCCTTGTAGAAAATAGCACATTTAAAAAATGTCTGTTTTCGAAAATATCACTGAAGTGATGTGTGGCTAACGTTAACATTAAGTAGCGAAAAAAATTGTACAACACTGTGGTGTTTGAATGAACTAATGACTCCTTTGTACTTGTTGAATGTTTGATTTCGAATTCTAAATACAGTACATTCGTTAGTGCTTGTGTAGTACTTCTTGATTCAATTGCGTTATCCCTGGGATTCTTAGTTCATACTATAATTCAATTACTCCTAATTATCATATTGGCGTCGCGATGGAGCCTGCGATGGGACAGTTAGATATTCATTCAACTTCTGAAGCTTTTGAGGATTATTTGGAAAGGTTTGAAATTTGGAGCATGACCAAGAAGGATGTTAAAGGTGATAAAATTGTGGCACATTTCCTGACATTCATCGGAAAAGAAACATACAGCTTACTAAAAACTTTGGCATATCCAGAAAAACCTATCTCATTTCTTTATGCAACTATTAAGGAGTTATTATTAAATCATGTAAAGTGCATTAGTTTTGAATGCCGTGAAAGGGCTAAATTCCATAAGATGACTCGTCGAAATGACCAAAAGGTTAAGGAATTCATTCTTGAATTGCAGAAACAAGCTGCCAAATGTAATTTTGGTGATCAACTTCATGTGTGACTGAGAGATCGATTAATTGCAGGAATTAACTTGCCGAGTTTGGAAAGAGAGCTGTTAAGAATGCCGAACTGTTCCTTTCAAGATGCTAGAACTGCGTGTATTTACTATGAGGCAGTGAATGAACTTGATATCCAGTCGATGAATATTTCTAATACTTTGCTTAGTCCTCATGATGAAATACAATCTCAGGGTCAATCAAAATTGCGTTCGTTTAACAGTGGTTCCTATTCTCGTGTAAATATGAAAGATATCTCAACAAGGAATTACAAAGGAAATCACAAAGGTGAGACCAAGTTTGGCAAATGTTTATCATGTGGAAAAATTCATTCTCGTAATTCATGTGCATTTCGTAATGCTAAATGTTTTAGATGTGGTAAGATAGGACACATTCAATCAGTATGCAAAGCTACTATTCATTTTGCCCCAAGTAGTACTAAATCATGTAATTTAGATCCCAGTGATTCAGCTGTTCCTAATGATCATTTATCTTTGTCTACTGTTTCGAAAGGTAATGCTCATATTCAAAAGCGATTATATACGTCGTTTGGTTCATGTCATGACTTTATTGTTGACACAGGCAGTATAGAGTCCATTATTTCATTCAAGAACTTGAAATCTTTAGATCCTAATGTTGTGGTACGACCCACTGAGGTATCAATATTGGGGATTACTGGACACAGACTGCCTATACGAGGATGTTGTGAGTTGCCAATAAGAGATGATAATTCTTCGTACATACCTTGTGAATTTTTAGTTAGCGAAAAAGGACTGTCAATACTGGGCTTAAGGAATTTGAAAAGGCTTAAAGTGGGGCTGTCTTTCCTAGTTTCTAAAGAAAATAATGATGCTTTACTTAAAGATTTGATAGCCACGTGTGCTAAGTGCAGTGGAGGTATGAAGATTCAGCCTATGAAACTTCAAGTACAGGGTGAACCAGTATTTCTTAAAAGACGAATAATTCCCTATGGTCTTCAAGAGGCAGTACATAAAACATTAAACGATTTGTGTGCGAAAGGCATAATTGAACCGATCCAGTCCTCAGCATGGGGTACTCCTATTGTTACGCCACTGAAGTCGGGTGGCAAAACCCCTAGAATATGTGGTGATTATAGATTAACACTGAATTCCCGTTTGTTGAAGCAAACGTGCACGACGGTAGAGGCTGAAGATATTCTAAATCGACTTCATGGTTCTAAAGTGTTCTCGAAAGTTGACCTAAAAGATGCTTATCTCCAAATCCCTTTAGATCAATCTTCATCTCTTTTGACGACAATTAATACTCCTTTTGGTCTGTTCAAATACAATTTCCTTCCATTTGGTCTAAGTTGTTTTCCAGCTATATTTCAGGAAGTCATGAATAATGTAGTTAGTGATCTTGAGGGCGTTGAAGTTTATCAAGATGATCTCATTGTCCATGGTTCTGATAAGTTAGTTCATAACCAGAGACTTATTGCTTTATTGCGTCGTTTAATTCAGAAGAATATTACAGTGAATCCAAATAAGTGTTCATTTTGTGTATCTAATTTCGAATGTCTTGGATACCTAGTTGATGGTAATGGTTTTAGACCAGATATGAAACGACTAGCTGCACTAACAAATGCACCGTCTCCAAAAAATCTTACGGAACTACGTTCACTAGTGGGTGCTCTTCAATACTATTCCCGTTTTATTCCTAATTTTTCTTGTCGTGAAAATTGTTTATTTAATATTTTGACATCCAATTCATTTAAATGGGATGAGGAACAAGAGTCATGCTTACGTAGTCTACTAAAGTTTCTTCAAAGTGATGCTGTTCTTCGAACTTACTCCCCTAGTGTACAGTCTGTACTTATCACTGATGCGTCACCTGTGGGTATTGGCGCAGTTTTGGAACAAGAGGGTAGACCAGTTATTTTTTTCACGCAAACTTACTGTTACTGAACAAGGTTATTCACAGACTCAGCGAGAAGCATTAGCTGTGTATTGGGCTGTTAAAAGACTCCATAAATATTTATTCGGAAAGAAATTCACTATTGTTACTGATCATGAGGCTTTAAAGTTTATTTATCATCCTGAAAAATCCTTAGCACGTTCCTCAGCTGCTATGGTTCAACGATGGAGTATTGCTTTGAGTGCCTATGACTATACGGTTCAGCACAGGAGTGCCAAACAAATTCAACATGTTGACTACATTTCTCGACAGTCATTACAAGATAAACCTGTAAATACTTCAGACTGTTTGTTAGTGCAACCTTTACCAGTGAAACGTCCAGATCTCATTAGAGAAACTCGTAAATACTTTGGATGTATAATTAATGCTATACGGAAAGGTTGGAATGCTAATTTGAAACGTAGATTTCCTATCTATTTTTCAAAGCGGGATGAGCTATCTACTACTCCTGATGGTATTTTGTGTTTAAATGATCGTGTTGTTATTCCTCCTTCATTGCGTAAATCTGTCCTAGAAGATCTTCATAGTGGACATTTAGGTGTTGAAAAAATGAAGTCATTGGCGAGGCTCACATGTTGGTGGCCAGAGATAAATGCAGATATTGGTGAAAAGTGTCATAAGCTGAAAAATCAGCATTCGAAGTGGACTCCATGGCCAGTATCGTCTGAGGCCTGGCAGAGAATTCATGCAGACTATTGTGGTCCGTTTCTTGGCAAATACTATGCGCTTGTAGTTATTGATTCTTTTTCAAAGTGGCCTGAAGTTTTCTTCACAACTTTACCAAATTCTGACTTCACAATTCAAGCATTAAGAAAGGTGTTTATCACTGCCCCGACAGCTTTCTGCGATGCATCTGTGCATAGAATTAGATTTGTCGTGGGGTCAGTGTTGAGGTACTGTAACATAGTGGCGTTGGATATAAGAGATTTAGCTTTCTCGAATGCAGTTTTAGCATCGGTCGATAAGTTGAATATGTCGTTTTTAGTTTTTCTCGTCACTTGGTTGTCGGCTTTTAACATGTCAGTCAGAGGTTGTAAGGTTTCAGCGCAATGTGATAGGAATCGTCGGTAGAAATTACACATTCCAAGGAAACGGCGTAATGCCTTTAGTGAGGTAGGTTCAGGGTAGTTGATGATGGTGTCAACTTTCTCCTGTAGTGGTCTTATGCCTCGTGAGTCTGTGTAATGTCCCAGAAACTCCAAGGCAGGAGCGCCGAAGATGCACTTGGAAGGATTAATGACGACTCCATACTGTTGGAAGCGATCGAAGAGGGTTTGTAGGTGCTGAACGTGTTCTTCGATCGACGCGCTAGCTATAAGAACATCATCGATGTAGACAAAAACAAAGTTGAGGCCTCTGGTTACCTCATCCATAAACCGTTGGAACGTTTGGGCTGCGTTTTTTAACCCAAATGGCATTCTCAAAAATTCAAACAAGCCAAAAGGTGTGATAATGGCTGTTTTTTCAATATCTTCAGGTGCCACCGGGATCTGGTGATATGCCCTGACTAGGTCAAGTTTTGAAAAAAAATGTTTCCTATATAAGTTAAGCGAAAAATCATGAAGATGAGGAATAGGGTATCTGTCAGGTGTCGTTTGGTTATTTAAACGTCGATAATCGCCACATGGGCGCCAGTCCTGATCTTTCTTTGGTACCATGTGTAGTGGCGAAGCCCATGGGCTGTTTGATTGACGGATGATACCCAGTTGCACCATGTGTTCAAACTCTCTTTTGGCAATCTGAAGCTTATGTGGGGGCAGTCGCCTTGGTTTGGCGCAGACGGGAGGACCAGTAGTAGTAATGTGATGAAGTATGTGATGTAAACTGCCTTCCTTTCGATAGTCAACCTTGGTGATGCTATCATATTTAGTTAAGAGGTCGGCGAAAGGTTGATTATCAGGCTTAATTAAACGTACTCCATGAATTTTGTAAATGTTAGCAGTAATGCCGTTTACGTGTAGACGTGTCTGATTGTCGATTAGTCGTTTGGCGCGCACGTCTACTAGCAGATTATAGGCAGTAAGGAAATCTGCTCCCAGGATTGGCTGTTTGACCTGTGCTACTACAAAGACCCACGTGAAACGTCGTCTGAGACCGAGGTCGATTATTAGTGACTGTTCCCCGTAAGTCTGAATGATTGTTTAATTCGCTGCTTGGAGTGTATTCTTGCTGGGGGTGATATGTTGCCGTCGGGAGAGGTATAGAGGGATAATGCTTATTTCGGCTCCTGTATCGACTAAGAAGTCTGAGCCCGAAATTCTGTCCCTGATGTGAAACAGACGGCTAGTAGCATGGCCAGAAGCAGTCGCCGCCATTACTGTCTGGCAGGCCAGTTTCCCTGTAATTCGTGACTGCTTGTAGGGAAAGTGCACGGCTTGGTACAACGTCGTGCTTTCTCACCATACTTCTGATGGTACCAACAAACACCAGTTGGTCTTTTTGGAGATCTAGAGCGATGTCGCGATCCTGACCTTTTTCTAGGAATTATCGAAGTTGGTTTCGTGGTTATCATAGCTATCGAAGCACGTAGTGATTCAATCTGATTTGTGAGTTGTGCTATTTGCTGTTGTTGGAGGCTAATGACATTACACATATTATCTATACCAGTAGTTTGTACAGAATTAACAACTTGGTTATCTGGGTAGATTTCAGTTATTTTATCAGCCATGTCGGCTAACTCAGTCAGGTTGGCTGAATTAATAGTTACCATAAGAATCTGTCTGACATTGTGAGGTAGCCGTTGAAGCCAAAGTTGTTTGAGTATATTTTCGTCTAATTTATAAGGACCAGACAACTCTTTCATGTATCGTAGTAATTGGGATGGCTTTTTATCTCCCAACTCACAGGAGGTTAATAACTGTTGTAGCCTTGTTTCGTCTGATGCAGAAAATCTCTGTATCAATGCGGCTTTAAGTTTATCATATGGGTCGTTTTCAGGCACTTGAGCAATAAGATCTCCCACTTGTGCAGCTATGTCTAATGGGAGTAAGCCTACAACATATGCGTATTTCGTAGTTTGTGCGCGTGTTTTTGGCTGTAAATAAAGCTTCAATCTGACAAAACCACATCCTAGGGTTGCTAATGCCAAACGCAGGAAGATTAAAACCTGAGATAGCATTAATGGAAATTAGGGTTTTATCTTCAGACTGTGATGTGGAGAAAGGATTAGCTGGGAGAGAGTCCATTGTAAGTGATTTAGTACAAATAAAGCCGTATGGGATATAAACAAAATGGATAAGCCGAAAATAATAATAAAAATTATAATAGCATAACAAATAGCATAAACACACACTCACTAATTAACTCTGGAAAACGTTGGGGTCACCATATAATTGTGGTGGACCACCCAATATATTATTTCAAAATATTAACAAGGTTATCAGATATCAATGAGTTCATATTGAAATATATCAGTTAAATGCGATAAATACAATAAAAATATAAGAACGTTACTTAATGCAGCTACTTGTGCGTGTTCGATTTGATGTGGTGGTCTTTTACCACAATTTTGGTTCGTTTAATATTCCATTTATCATGATAATCCGAAGGTCAGTATGTGTATGTGGCTGCAGTCTATAAATTAGGTAACATTCGTATTAATTATTATGAATAATATCCACTAAGCAGATGGGAATAACAATGGTATGTATAAAGTGTATTTGATAATGTATAGCGGCGAGGGCCGTGCTAGTGTACAATGAACGGAAAGTGAAAACAGCGTGTATATATATATATATATAGCGCCTGTAATAATTAATGTCACACACATAAACAAAAAGTACAACAATCTCATAGTGGATGTACAAGCTGTGAAATTTAACCAAAATAAATACAGATAGTATCAAAAACTGTTTACAAAATAAGTTTGTCATGCCATCTCCACAGACGAATAGATAAGATGTATGTAATCTTTACCAATCAGCTAGTAGTTAAAAGCATCCACAGACATAATAAGAAGTGATTTCGAAATGAAAAATGTATGTTATGATAACATAAAATATGACCTCGACTAAGTGAATGAATGTGGTAATAGACCATAAATGACATGGAAAAATTGGAACGAACTCACTTAAAGTAGATGATTTTACGTTGTTGAATAATAAAAATATAGTCCAGTGAGTTTCGAATGTCATAACGTGGAATGGAATGTTCATAAAATGATAATTTGTTCGGTGAGTGATATGACTGCGTAAATGTCATAATTTAATGTCAGCACGAACAAAATTAATAATTCTACATTCGTTCATAATATGATAACGTTATAATAAGCATATGATGATAATTTGAATCATAATGGAACATTCCGACAAATGGATCAATGAGAAATGTTGACATGAGGACATAGTATCGATAAGATAATACGATTTGTGCATGTCCATGTCGTGATGCACAGGCCTTGCTGAGTGCGTCGGATTAGAGATTGTGCTCGCTTCGCTGAATTTGTTCGTCGAAAGTATCACGTGCAGAAATTTCATCGACGTAGCTTGCTGTGTTGCGTTCGTCGTTGTCAGCTCACCACTTTCGTGGGTGGCCGTTGTCGCTGGGTTGCGTTAAGTTCGTCGTCGGCGGGCTTACCATTTTTGTGACCCGTAATCTGACTCCAATTTTATCGTAATGATTGGTTGCTATCGTCTATCCTCGTATATAATCATTGACTTAAATCGCGTTAGATAACAACGGAATTAAATAACTCAAATAACGAGAATGGAGTTCTGAATGCATATATTTTGTATAATTGTTGATTAGACAAACGAACGGGAGAACGACGCCAAGAGAAGAAAGCGAAGCAAAATTGACGAGCAGTGGAGATGGCTGGTAAGCCAACTCCCCCTTAACAAAGAGTTAATCAATATTTATAAGCACATCAAGATAAATTACAGACATGTGATGAACAGTGTGATAAGAAGTGTACACACGCCCACGTGCTCATACAAAGACAGTCAAGATTGATTAGCGAATAATTTACAAGGTCAAAATATGACTCAAGCAGAATGAATAGATTGAGATGTCCGAAAGTTAGAATAAGGTATATGGGCTTAACATAATGACAGACACTTGTTATGACCTTGATTTGTCTACCCACTTTTTGGTGCCGAGGCTACTTGTCTAATCTAGATTTCGACCTTGATGCGATAGGCTGATCAGCTTAACCTTGAGACTAGTACGCGTGAGTTCGAGATGGGGTAGAGAGAAGAAAACTATTCTGTCACCTGATTGGTGGGCAAGCACACGAATGAGAGAAGACAAGACAACTGGAACACTACTCGATCTATTTCCCTGACCACTGAACTCACTGGATTTACTGAATTCAGATTAGTGTAAAAAGGTACATGAATAAATAAGTGAATAACCCGACCGCAACGTACAATAATTAGGAAAAATACAATTGTGTCCAAAGCTGGGGATTAGAGTAGAAAATAGGGTGCAAAATAATATGTTTAAATTACAATAGCTTCGGAACAGAAAAAGGTATGGCAGTGAATGATACATCGAACGAAAGTTTATGTTCTGTAGAATAGATTAGGGACAAAAATAAATGTCAGTGTTTTACAAGCTTTGAATAAAATGAAATAACGTTCCGAAAAATAGCCTTCGTAGTTTGTCAGGGCTTCTTGTTTCCCGGTTCACATCATCTTCCCCCTTGACAAAAAAATGTTATAACTGCCATCCAACTGAGTGCATAAGTGAAAACGGTTTACGTTGCGATCCGTGTAAGCGTGACTAATTTGACCAACTGGAATAAATAAAAAAAAAGAAAAATGATTAGTCACTATTTACAAGTAATAGTTAAGATATCATCATTGATATCTCCCCTCAGAAACGTATGCTCTTTTCTTTGGGTCCACTTATAGAACATCTGGTCTTCTGCGTTTTCGTAACGATCTCCTAATAGGATCTTGTTCCGGATGCACAGTTTTGTGAGTCGTTGAACTTTTAATATCGAAACTGTCCAAGAAGATTTGCCACATTGAACTTAGTTTCTCGGTTTTCTGTGCAGTACCAGAATTTTCCAGTACGTGGTTAACATGACGTGTCCACTTTTGACCTTCAACTTCCACCACATACATTACATTTCCCCGTCTCTTTAGTATGAGTCCACTGGTCCATTGTGGAGGTGAGTATCTGAAATCACGGACGTATACTGTTTGGTTGTTTCGGAAGATTCTATTTTTCGCCCCATGATGGCGATTAAATTGGATTACCATCTTTCGGTTTCTCGTTCCTATGAGATTTCGCTCTGGTTTTGTTGCATCGAGAGCAGTTTTAACTTTTCTGCCAAACATAATTTCTGCTGGAGACATTTGATTTGGTGCTGACGGGTTTGGAGTTGTTCTGTAGACAAATAGAAAATCATTAAGAATTTCCTTTATCTTCCCCTCCCCTTTTGCCTTCAGTAGCGCTCTCTTGAAGGTATCCACAAACCTTTCGGCTTGACCATTCGATTGTGGATGATATGGAGGTGAACGAACATGATTGACTCCAAATCTCTTGCAGAAATCTGAGAAGATGGACGAAGTAAACTGAGTGCCCTTATCCGACACAAGGATATTTGGGACTCCAAAACGGGAGAATAACTGCCGTAATTCCATAATAGTGTCTTGCGAAGTGACCTGGTTCATAGGGATAATCTCCGGCCATTTTGAGTAAGCATCGACACAAATGAGGAAATATGTACCCTGAAATGGGCCAGCAAAATTAATTTGTACACACGACCAAGGTTTCTTTGGAGATATCTTCGGCATTTGAAAAGGAACAGAAGACTTTGGTGTGGACATAACATTGACACAAATTACATGAGGTTCTGAAGTTTTACGCGAGCATACTTTATCTGAGGCATTTGATTGGGAATCATTGTGAGGACATGTTTCATCGGAGGAATTCGATTTAACATCATCAAGAGAACACATTAGAAGCATTTGATTCAGAAAGATTATGAGAACATGTTTCATCAGAAGCATTTAATTCATGAATATCAAAAGAACATGATACATCGGAGGCATTTGATTTAGAAATATCATCAGGAATTTTGATAGACTCAAAGGAAGCATTTTGAGAACATACCTCATTTAATAATTTATTCAAGGTATCAACCTTCTCAATCCAGTCTAATCCTAATAGATCTAAATCGTGCCGATTTGTAAGATAACAGACATCGGTGAACTTATGTTCCATGAATTTAACGTTGCATGTGACTTCTCCTGTCAACTTCACTATATCTCCTGAAGCATTGCGAGCAACATGTTCTGTTGGTCGGATGCGTGGATATCCCAGATTACGCCATGTGTTTTTGGAAATCAGTGTAACATCAGAAGCAGTGTCCAATTGAAGACGTATGGGTTTTTCATTTACTAATAAGTTTACGTACTTCCGCTTACTTTGAAAACCAACTTTGAAGGCTGCGAACGTGCTTTTAATTTGACTCTGTGGTGGTTGCTTCGCATTTCCACTACGACATTTAGACTTACGTTTATTCGATGAGCAGTGACCTTCTTTATGACCAATGCGATGACATTTGCGGCATTTGTGATTCTTGAACGGACATAGTTTCGCAAAATGCCATGCTCCGCAGAACCAACATGGTGATGGGGGTTTGACAGAAGGTAGTTGTGTGGTTGTAGTGTTCTGTTTGGACAATTTCGAGGATCTGAGAGCATTAATTGAACCAAAATCGGAAGGTTTAGCCTTCTGTTGCACCATCGCGGTATCATGCTTGAGATTTACCAACCTCTGACACTCGGTTGTGACCATTTGTAGTGTCATATTCGGTTCCTGTTCAATGCGTGCTAACATCCTGGTACGGACATCTGCATCTTCTGCATTCTTTAAACCACATATAAAAATCAAGCATTTGAATTGGTCAGCTGAAATCTCGTTTATTTTGAACAGTTCGCATTCTCGATTTACTTTACCAGCATATGTGAGATAATCATCATCTGGGGATTTCGATATTTGGAAACATCGATAGCGAGTATTAAATAATGAAGATTGTTCGCCGAAAATGTCAGATAAAATTTGGACTGTCTCTTTGAAAGATACATCTCGTGGATTTCGTGGCAGGATGAAATTCACATATTTGTTGTAATCACGTGTTCCGAGTCTTCTCAGGAGTAGGCGAACTTTAGCTGCGTCATCAAGATTTGAGCATTCCACACGGAATATGTCTTCGCAACGATGAAACCAGGAATTGAAAATGATACCAGATTCAGGATCATAATGGAATTCACAAATAGAATTCGTGATGCATTCATACTTATCTGATTGATAAGTTGTGGATGAATGTAATGACAGCTTCTGCATCAGTGCATCTAAAAGCTTCATT